ATTATTATTATTATTATTATTTGGGGGGTGGGTATATTGTTGTTTTAATATTATGTGTTTATTGTGCATGATTTTGTACAGCACACTGAGATGCTCATAGTATGAAGGGCGCTTTATAAATAAATAAAAACTTAAACTTATTGGATGGGAATATGTTTAAATTTGTGAAGCATCTATGTATGGTAAAATATTTTTATTATGCAGATAATTAAGGAAACAAAGTGTTATTTGTGACTTCTAGAGGAGCTTGGATACAGAGATGTCTGATGTTTTATTTTATTTGTTATAAATAAAATAAAGGCAGATAAAACAAGACTATCTTCACTCTGCACACTTTTAAATTTGTGAAGCATCTATGTATGGTAAAATATTTTTATTATGCAGATAATTAAGGAAACAAAGTGTTATTTGTGGTTTCTAGAGGAGCTGGGATACAGAGATGTCTGATGTTTTATTTTATTTGTTATAAATAAAATAAAGGCAGATAAAACAAGACTATCTTCACTCTGCACACTTTTCAGTCATGGCTTAAGTTTTTATTTATTTAGTTTCTAAATGTCTCTGTTTTTGGTGTATTTTGTTGTCATTTTCATGTTTTATAAACAGATTCGGGTTTGATGAATGAAACACATTAAGGTGGTACAGCAGCGCACTCTAGTGGTGATGAAATAAACTAAATGTAGTAAAACTGGCTGACGTTTCTGCAAATGTTAAAAATTACAAACACTAAACACTTTTAAAGTTCTACAAAGCAGAAGAAACAATCATTCATGGTGTAAACAGGCTCATTAAACAGCTCCACTCACCGTTCACTCAGGTTACATCTTCCAAACATTAAAACACTTCCAGCAGCAGAACTGGAACAGCTGTAGCGGCTAGCTAGCTGTTGCTAACGAACTGCTAGCATTAGCAAACCTAGGGTTTAAGGAGTTCTAAGTTTTCCTGTGTTGGTTGGCTTAAAAAAGTAATAATTTTAAAAAGTCCATCTTTTGAATTAGCGGTCGTACAGAAAGATGTTCTGATAATAAATCCCCAACAAAGTCTCGTTAGTCTGCTTCCGGTCCTTCCCGCTAGCTTAGCATTGAGGAGACGTAAGACGTTCWGAAGTACACGCCCACTTGCTCTAACTCTAAATCCGATTGGTTGATCAGAACTTGTATTGAACTTGAAGTTGATTGGTTGACTCAATCTGAATGAGCTACTTTTAGCTTTCAAAATCCTTTCTTTCCTAGTTCTTGTGGGATTTTTAACGTGATTACACACATATTTACTATACAGTATACACACATACATAAATTTAACTTGGAGTACTTTTAACCACTTCTTTTTAGGGAAACAGGGTTTTATTCTATGTACAGCTAATCCAAGCTAACAGCTATTAGTCTTCGCTAATGAATACGGTGTGCTAACAGCTAATCCAGGTGGCTAATGGATATTTAAAGTGTATGTTAGAACCCAAATACTTATCCCAAAATCTTTACAAGAACTCTTTAGACTTTTATAATTGTACAATTATAAGATTTTAGAATCCGGATAAATAAAATAAACTTTTGAGTTTCTAAGAAAACATGAAAAAAATTGTAATTATTAAAGAAACATTTATAAACAAATTGAAGCCTTTATTGGAATGTCGCAGGCATTAAATACACAAGTTCAATTGTTTTGAATAATTTGGTATTTAATAATAAAAAACAACACTGGTCTGACAGTCATTTTATTGATTTCCTGGTTAATATTCAGTTTGATCCACTGCTTGTGGACAGTTTGAGGTCAAAGCAGATCAYTTAATGAAATGTGGGAAACTGAACCTTAAACTAAAGGGGAAAAAAAAGTCAAAGCTGCATTTGATACCGTTTACGGWTTGAACCCGAATTACCAAATAGTACAACTTTTGTATAAAATATAAACAAGGATACAGACAAGCAGAAACAGAAAATAAATGACAAAAAGAAACAACAATGAATRAAAGAGTAAAGAGAGGTCAGCTGGAGTCATAAATAACCTGCTCTGATGGTATAAAACTTATTAACAGCACGTTTATCACCCACCGAAATCCAAATGTTCTGAAAACTGTTCTGTTCTGGCAAACCGTGTTCCCTCACTGCGGAAAAAAATAAAGAAACATTCACATCAAATATTCCCAGCCCGTCTGTTTGTTCTGCTCGCTTTTTATTTTTTATTTTTAATTTCCTGGACCGCCTCCTCATCTCAAACATCCTGAAGGAGAAATCCAAAAAGTCACGGCGCTGCTGCTGCTGGTCCGGCCCGGGGGTTAAGACATGACACCGAACACGGGGTTGTGGCGGCAGATGCTCGGCCCGATCTCCTCGTAGTCCTTCTTGGTGTGACAAACCTGGTAGAACTCGGGCTGAGGAGGAAAACAGGAAGATGTTTCTGTCCAAATCTGAGCGGTTCTCTTAAAATTACAGAGAAGTTCTTTGTGTTTCAACACATTTTCAAAGCTAACTGCTAGTTTGTCTTGGCTAACGACTAGTTTGCACCGACAGCTAGTCTGCGCTAACAGCTAGTCTGCGCTAACAGCAGTCCTCCTTATTGCTTCTCCATGCTAATTATTATCTAAGCTAATGGCTAGTTTTCGCTAACAGTTGATCTAAGGTCTGTATCMTGTGCTAAGAGCTAATCTGTGCTAACTGCCTGTTCGTGCAAATGTCTGACAGCTGGTTTAAGCTAACGTCTTGTTTGTCTAAGCTAATATCTAGTCCACAACTAGGGTTAGCCTGTGCTAACAACTACTGCAAGCTAGGTTGCACTGACAGCTGGTTTGAGCTAACAGCTAGTCTGTCCAAGCTAACAACTACCCAGCGGTAACAGCTAATCCCCCATAATAATTTGTCTAAGAATTACTTGTTCAAGCTAAAGGCTAGTTTGCGTCACCAGCTAGTTCAAGCAAACGGCTAGTCTGTAGAAGCTAAAAGCTAATCTGCACTACCAGCTAGCCCACCTTACTAGTTTGTGCTAAATATCTGTCTAAGCTAATGGCTAGTTTGTGTTGACAGATGTTTTGGAGTTAACGGCTAAGTTATCAAAGCTAACAGCTAGTTTGTGCTAATAGCTAGCCCATTATAATTGTTAGTTTTGCGCTAATTAATTGTTGAGGGCTGGTTTGAGTTAAAAGCTAGTCTGTCTTAGAAAATGGTTGGCCCACGATAACAGCTAGCCCAAGCTAAAAGCTAGCTTATTTTAATAGTTTGTGCTAAATACTTGTCTAAGCTAATGGCTAGTTTGTGTTGACAGATGTTTTGGAGTTAACGGCTAAGTTATCAAAGCTAACAGCTAGTCTGTGCTAATAGCTAGCCCATTATAATTGTTAGTTTTGCGCTAATTAATTGTTGAGGGCTGGTTTGAGTTAAAAGCTAGCCTGTCTTAGAAAATGGTTGACCCACGCTAACAGCTAGCCCAAGCTAAAAGCTAGCTCATTTTAATAGTTTGTGCTAAATACTTGTCTGAGCTAAAGGCTAGTTTGTGTTGACAGATTTTTGGAGTTAACAGCTAGGTTTTTAAAGCTAACAGCTAGTCTGTGCCAATAGCTAGCCCATTATAATTATTTGTTTTGCGCTAATTAATTGTTGATGCTGGTTTGAGTTAATTGCTAGTCTGTCTTAGAAAATGGCTGGCCCACGCTAACAGCTAGACCATGCTAACAGCTAGCCGACATTAACAGTTATTCTGAGCGAAGAGTCAGTCTCGATCCCAGGCTGCACCTGAAAGTCAACAGCTAGCTGCTGCCTCGTCATGTAAATGATGGTCTAAAACCAAAGGAATGGTTCTGAAAAGGTTTTTCAAATAGTTCACCTGAACCCTGAAGAACACCTGTGTGTAAGACAACATGTTGTAATGTGTAATAAACACAACGCTATTTGCTTTAGCTTTTCTTTAGCACTTTCGATGTTAAATTAGCTTTTATGCGACATGTTGACTGAATAAAAAGGTTTCTGCAGGTAGCATTTCTGCACACTTTATTAGGAGTAAATAAATATAAATCAGTGTTAAATAGTGATTAAAGTTTTAAGATAGTAGCTTTATAATCTGCCTGTGAATCAGTGCCTTCAGCTGAAGTTTCTCTAATCCAACTCTAGCAGATCAGGAAGTGTTTTCTGAACAGAGAAGTGAGATTTAGCGCTGCGGCCGTATTGACGGAGGGTTTATTTGAGGTACTTACAGTTGATGCTAACATTGATCCACCGAACCACACGGCGTATCTCTGCATGTGATGAGTGATGACCTGCACATCGATCGGTTTGGGCTGYGGAGGGAAACAATCAGATTCAGACTCAGAGATTTAATGTTTCCAATGAAACGAATCAAACCGCCATGAATTCTAAAACCCATTACAACTGTTAGATACGCAGCCGAGGAAGGCTGCTGTTTAATCCTGAAAATCCATCAACACTTTAAAGGGGCTGTGACATCAATTTTTTGTAATAAACATGAAAGTGTTTTTGGAAAAATAACATTGATAAAATGTTGTAAAAAAAATAAGATTTCATGCCGCTGAGATGAAAAGTTGTTGAGATATTTGCATGTGAAGAAACAGGAAGTGATGTCACAGGGGAATGTCTGCATCTAAATAGAGCGTTGCTACAACAGACTGTAGAGAAGAATCTGATGTTTAAGATTATTTTGAGTCTCTATCAGAGAGATGAAGAGWTAAAGTTTAAATAATTTTGTTTTAATAAACAAAAACCAGAGTGTTTATTTTGTTAAAGAGTTCCCCTTTGATGTCACTTCCTGTTTCACTTTGATTGAGCCAAAATCAAAAGAAAATAGACCAATTATGTGACAAAATTAGACGAGTCACAGGTTTTAAAGACTAATCTGTCCTCTGGACGTGAAGAGGACAGCTGGACTCAGACCCAGGAGGAGGTCTGACCCTGACCACGTCACTTCCTGTACAACACTTTGCACTGATCCGAGGAGCTSCTCTGACCTTCAGCTTGCCTCCGCTCAGCTCCTCGCTCAGCTTCAGCCGAGCGTCCACCGTCCTCTTCAGGTCCCTCTGCAGGCGGCGCCCGAAGTCCCTGAACATGGTGGAGCCTCCGGACAGGACGATGTTCTGAGGAAAACCACAAACCAGGAGCTGTGAGAGCAGCTGACGCCCGGACCTGGACCTGGACCCGGACTTGGACCTGGACCCGAATCGTTACCTTGTAGAGAGGACGCCGCACGTCGATGGGACAGTTCTGGATGACCTCGTCCACCACCTCAGAGATGGGCTGGGTGAAGTCTGGGTTGGCAAACTGAGACGGAGACATTTAATGATGCATCAGGTAAACAGGAAGTGGTGTCAAGTAAAGAGGAAGTGGTGTCAAGTAAACAGGAAGTGGTGTCAAGTAAACAGGAAGTGGTGTCAGGTGCCAGGGACACACCTCCGGGTGGAAGAAGATCTCTGGCCCCAGGAAGCGCTCGTAGCCCACGTCGATGGTGAACTCCTTCTTGCTGATGGCGTTGATGCCGGTGTACTGTTTGATCCACTTGGTGCCGTCCGTGTCGTACTTCTGGAACTCTTTGACTAAATCTGGGCAGACGTAGCTGAAGCGCTCCTGGAGGACAGAACAGAGACCTGAGACCAGCTGGATGCTGCAGGCGCACTCAGAGCGCCCTCTGCTGGCTCCATGAGGAATGACAGCAAACCTCTTTTAATTTAATTTAATTTAATTTAATTTAATAAAAAACATTTATTGCTATGAAGTAAATGTACGCTAATTGAAGATTAATATTGTTTGAGTTTATATTTGAGGAGAAAAGGAGCAGCTATAAGATATTTTTCTTCTCTGCTTCCTTTCATTTCATTGTATTTGTGTTTTTTTCTTTTTATATTTCTACATAGAATTAATTTGTTTTAAAGAAATAAATTTTAAATCAAAAATAAAATAAATACAATGTTTGGTATTTCAGGTTTTTCTAGGTTTTGGCCATTTCACTATTTTACTCAAAGTGTTTTCAACATCCTTAAAACCTTCAAAATGTTTATAAATCTGACTGCATTTTACACCTTTTGTTCTGGTTCTGCTTCTTTAACAGCTTTGTGCTAATCTATGTTTATGCTAGCATTAGCCTTTTATTGTTATTTTAGCTATCACTGCTATTCTTACTTATAGTTAAATTTTTGTCCTTCTTTCAGATTCTTTGTGCTAATTTAACCGTTTATTGCATTTTCTGCTAATTTCAGCTGTTTTCTGWAATTTTGGCTTTTTTTTCTAGGTAATTTCATGTTTTGGTCGTCATTTAAGCTTCTTAATTCAACAAACGTGCTCCTTCTCTTCTTGTTGCTATATTTAAGCTACATTCGTTGTAGCTATTTCACAACAAATTGCAATATTGAGTTTGTACTTATTTAATTTTTACACTCCTCCCACCTGTCTGCTAACTTCAGCTCTAGAATGAAAACAAGCAAAAATGAAATAAAAGTAASGACTTTCTACTTCGTCTTTTTTAGAAAATGTAAGAAGTAAAAAGTAKGCTGAAAAATAACTACTCAAGTAAAGTACAAATACCCAAAAATTGTACCTGAGTAACAAAGTATTTGTACTTAGTTATTTTATAGTAACTCTGGTTATTAAAGGTGGGGCTCACCTGTAGCACAATAACTMACCTTCACAGCCTTGGCGGTCTCCAGCGACTGCTCCGGGGGGATTCCCACCTCTCGCTCCCTGAGCAGCTGCTGGGTGAAGTAGGTGATGTCTCGGCCGGCGATGGGGATGTGTTTGATGCAGCTGCCGATCACGTAACCCTCGGCCTGAAACAGAGAGGGATGGTGAGACTCGCTCGGTGCAGCAGCGTCGCGCCGCGCCGCGCCACACCGAGCCGGTGGTTCCAACGCACCACGGGGATCACGTGAGTCACGCCATCTCCGCTGTCGATGACGGTCCCTGTGAGCGTCCGCTCCCCCACCTGTCGGGACGTCCAGGAGGCGGCGAGCGCCAGCACGGCCTGCGACACACACACACACACACACACACACACACACACACACACACACAC